TAGTAATGGTGCAATTTATTGTTCAGGGCAGCAAACGTTTTTGAAGCAAGAGATGAGGGAGAAGCAGTTGATATATTCTGAATTATATAACACTTAAGTTTTTAGGAAAATTGTTAGAACACCTATTAAACTTTGAACTAATTAGTCAACATAATAATATAATATAACTAAACACCTTGTTATAAATTTACAATTTTTTTTAAAATTAATTTCTAGCTAATTACATGCACTTCACTTCGTTGGCCGTTTAAAATGCCAAATCTATATGATTCAAACATTTTGCAATTCATTTTTTGAAATTTGGTATGATTGTGTTCAAAATTTCAAAATTTTAATTAGCTATCTCAAATCTCAATATACAAAGTGGCATTTTAGTGCAAGCCGTATTTTAAAATGAGAATTTTTTTAAACGCTTTTTTAGTGCACAGTTACATAGTGGTATGGAGGTATCGTGAAAATCACAATAGTCTCAAGCTGTTTTTTAGGCTCTAAATTGATTGGTTAGTGAGTCAGTTCATCAGCCAATTTTATCATTTTTACTTAACCCAATCTACAGTGCGTTGGGTACAATGTGCCATCCAGTAAGTTTCGATATAGCTGCATATAATTTGATTTTGCTCGGTAATTAATACGAATTGGCGGTGTTACTCAGTTCAAATTGTAATACGCCAAGATGTAATATGCAGAAAAGTCTTTTATTTACTWAGAAYTATAACCGATATCAATTTCGAAAACAATTTGAGAAAAATTAATAAATAGTTATTCTAAATCCTAACCACATTTTAACGAGTAATTCCGAAAATCATTTAAATATAATACTATGCATTATTAAATAGGCGTAGTTTGGTATAATTATTATCAATGGGAATATATGGGATTATAAACATATTCAACAACATTTTCACGTTTAACTTAAATTAAAATGGGGAAAAAAAATTTCAAGAAAAACAAATCATAATTGTGTCTTTCTTAACCTGACATTTTATTTTACAATACATTAAAGATAAAACAATTTAATTTTTAATTTTTAAATAAATATGCTTATAATAAAAATACCTACAGAAGGTTTAAGTTATTATTTGACAAAATTTCAATACTCAGAATAAGAGTGTTCTTTCGTTGGACAGATGATATGTACCTATATAGGTAAAAAATAATTCTTAGTGGGTACAATGGTACATACTRATGTTGAATAATTCAAATTTAAATTTATGAACACTATATTTTTTTTTAATCAGTCGCTTAACGATTTAAAGTGAAAAATATGAATGCCATATATATAGAATGTAAGTATTTGAAAATATTGTCTTTCAGAACATGTATTGACTTCAAAATTCAAAAAATTTAAATTTGAATAAAATCATCATCAAATGGAAAAGGTGGGACGTTTATGGCCGGTGAATCACTTTGTACACACCTAATACTTGTAACATCGATAAATATAAACGCGTAGTTGCGTGCGTACTTCACAATAATAATAACGGAAGATAAATAAAAACTCTACATACTAAGAAAAAAAATAAAGATAATATAAGAATGAATTGTAGTACTTCGTATCTTGAGCGCAGACCTAYCTATCTATATCTATATCTATATCTACCTACCTATATAATATCATGTATACACAAAGTGCACGCCGACACCATCAGTATAACATATTAAAATATATTTCACAGTAACACGCCGTAACCATATAAATAATAATAATAATATTATGATACGATGTGAAATATGCGAAATGAGCTTTGGACACGACCGTATGTCCGGTTTGTGGGTTTTACTATGGTGGGCATCACGATAATAATAYACACACACACACGCAGATAGTGTACAATATATAGGTACAGGTATTATAATGACATGATAATAGTAATAATAATAATTTAATATAATATCGTCGCATTARCATAACATAATATATTATTTTAAGAATGTTTATTAAAAATATAATATAATATTTATTGAGGCGAGATAGTAACCGACTTAATATTATTCGAATTATACCACTGGCAGACCAGCCGCCTGACGGAGTGTGACGGCCGACGATGCACTAAGCCTTAGGGGAGGTTTTCGGCGGTGAGTGGTGACCTCGCGATGGCGTGCTATAAACGATTTCGAAAATAATCGCGTTTGCGGCCAGTGGCGTGGCGAAGTGTTTAAATATAATTTAAGAAAATAATAATTTCTAGGAATACCAATCCATCCACTCATCCACCTGCCCACAAAACTTATCATCTGATCCCATCATCCARGTACGTTTTAATAAAAAATCATTTACCCCGTCGTTAGCATTTGATTTCGATTTTTTTCTGCATTTCGTTCTTAAATATTAATAAAACAATAATACGACTTATTTTATTGATAATATTGTATCACCATTGCAGAATACCAATCATAAACCTATACGTAATATTATATATTTGTTAATAAATTATTATTTTGATCTAGCATCTTTACAACTAACTTTACCACCTAACCTACGCAGGTATGCGCCTAAAAAAAAAATACCAGTAAACATTTATAATAAATGACCGTGGTAATCATGCAGACGTGGTATGTATAATACCATGATATGGATATGATATTATATTATATCTACTCCCGAATTTAGCGTAAAATACTGACATTTACGTATTATTATTATTCAGATTTTCCAACACTAATAGTATTTTTTTATGGAAATATTTACTACACAATAATAACATAGTAAATCTAATAATTTTATATAATATGTGGCAGGTACATACTGAAATCGATTTGATGATAAACTATCACATCCGGAAATAAAAATCGTTGTTCTGGCACAAACAATAATAATTGTTTATTAACAATCATAGTGAATAATATTGTATAAAGCCTACAGATAATGGTATTTGACAGTCAGAACCATAATAACATAATGTTTTTTTTTTTTTTAGTAATATGAAAGCATTATTTTTTTTATGTTTAATGACTCCTTGTATTATAGGTGATGTGATCATAATTTTTTTTTTTTGCATCACTTATTAATGTCATGTAATGAGTGTAATGATGAATGTAATGAGTAAAATAATTTTATTTCAGCTGTAACATTCAACATGAATGCGTACATAATTTTATTATCTTGTTCCGTTATCACTGTAAATCGTATTATTGTTTACTGCAGTCTAATATACTACATCGGCCGTTTTCAACTACCAATGTCATCGATTAATAAATATCTGAAAATTGGTACTAATTTACCAAGTGTACGCAGTAACTTAAAACATAATTTTTAAAATTCTGGMCCTTAATAATTGTAAATCCTGGATTCTGACCAGGATAAGGATTTTGTATGACTGTTAGTTGTAGTGACCAGCTTAGGGAATCTAGGATAAAAAATCATTGCACATAATGTACGTTTAGATTGATATTTTAGTAAGTTGTTGTCGCCCGCACGGTAGTTATCGACAAAAACAACATCACTTTAACCGTGTGGAAGTGCGTTTTCAGCCGAGTGGGAATACAATATTATTATTATCATGCAAATCGGGTAAAGTGCTCTTATTTCGTCGTATCGCACACTCTGCACTCGTATTACTCAGTATACTACCCTCCTCCGTGGTCTTAAATTAATGTCGTCATCGTCTCGCACGCAATTTATAATATGTTTGCTTTTGTAGGTTGTGAAGCACTCGCCCGGACCGCAGGTTGTAGCTGACGTTTACTCTTCGCCATCCGTGTTTTTTACACCCTTGGTTCGTCATATAATCTAAATATCGGCTTATTTTTGAAGGCGAACAAARCTAATAATTCCATGTATACGTCATACGTTGTGATTTCAATATTTTTAATCGAACCGAAAACACACCCCGTCGTTAACCAGCTCCAGGTACTTACGTCAAGTARTGATCGCTACATTTTATTTTACCGTGTCGACGGAAGGTTCCATTTAAGTTTATGAATTTTGTCTTATAAAGCTATACATTTAGAAATTCATGTAGAAACGAGAGCCAAAAAAAAAAAAATTGCATGCTCGGGTGCCTGTTGATGTTTACCTGGCTTCTGTGAGATGTTTTTTATGCCCTATTCTCATAATATGATAGCAGCTATCTGAAGGTTAGTTTTGTTCTTTTTGTCTCTGTATTAGAGACAGTTTCAACACTAGGTACTGGAACTTTCCTACGTCTGATGGCCTACTCATTCGTTGACGCTATGTCACACCCACAACATATGGTTAAATAATTTAATTTAGAAACAGCTGTATGTAAGGTTAAACACTGTACCTACGATTTACGGTCATATATATCATTGACATAAAGACTATATACTATTCCGACTTATGATGTTAATATAATTTTATCTACAAAAATACACTTTACGGAAATAATGATTCTGTTATGCAAAATCAACAAAGTTTGGAAGTTTAAAAAAAAAAAATTATATTCTACAGGATGAATTGAAGTTTTATTCAATATTTAAATCTCATACTCTTTAATATTGCCTTCAATGATAATATAATTTTAAGTTTTTTTATAAACTATATTTTATCATTATTTGAAATAAAATAAAAATCAGAGTTCAATGTGGCGTGTAAGAAGTCTTCTTCTTTCAGATAAAAAAATAGTTATCAAAATTTGACAATTATACATGTTAAGGCATATTTTTTATTAAATACACCGTAACAATTTTCTCTCGAATAGGCATTTTGGACAGTAAATTAGTGGAAAAGTATTTCAATCCAGGTGACAATTAAAATATGAGATACATTTTTAAAATTCTATAGAATTATGGAAAAATTAAAAAACCAGAAAATGGCTAAGTTCTCGAATTGACGGGGGTCATATTAGTCTTGTATTTGAATTAAAAAAAAAAAAAAAAAACAATCTGTCTGTCTTACTGAGTTTTACTGTAATATATAAAACGGATAAAACTTTGATAACATAAAATGTATGATTATAATGAAAACATAATCAGGTGTAGTTTGCTTATCCTGGTGAATGTTATGTAAACCCGAAAAAATGTATTGTTGTTGTACTCACTTGTTGTTTAGTGATGTAGATTGGTTTGTTTAGTATTAACCAGGTAACGGTTTCGTGACACGCGGGAACCGTGGTAGAGCCGTCATACGTCATGTAGTAATGGGTGGCTGGCAACAGATCGGCGACTGACAATCGTTTCACAGGAACTTCCTCGCCTAAGCACAGACACAATAATAACATTTGCAAATCGTTTAATCGTGTTCACGCGACAAGAGTAGGAAACACCTTTACGTGAATATTTGGTGATTTTTAAGTACATGCAGCTTTATGATAGAGTTCTCGATACAGGTCTTAGTGTTATTACTTGTTATTTAATACTACGAAGGTCGGTATAAGTGGGGTGTTATAAGTTTGATTTTTTACGAATTCTACTTAGTGTATGTAATTGTATACTAATATAGTTTCAATTTTTATAGCAATTTGAAATATATTATAGTCGTATGAAATATATTTAAATAGTTATTATGAATTCACATTTAACTTTCTTTTCCAATATAAATGTATAATATTATGGTTATCTTTAATAAAAAGTAAATAATTTCATATGTAATTTAAAGATTTTACCCAAAAACAGATTTAATTTAACCCCTTCATCTCCAACAACCGCCAAAAATCTGCTGAAATGAATTTTTTTTTCAAATTCAGAATATTATGCTCTGTACTCGCATTTTTAAAATAAATCCTAGTTCCAAGTTAATGGTTAGTATTGATATTACATTCGTACATTCGTTGTAGTTAATTTTTCCATGAATATTTTCAGAWTGCCAATATTGTGTAAAAATGCGTATACCAGTTCAAAAATCCATACAGGGTAAGAAAATATACGTAAACGTACTTRTATATTCGAACCAAATCTTACAATCTAAATYGAAGAAATCGAGGAAAATACTATATTTTATCAGCAAAGTTCATTATTTGAAGAGTTAATTTTACTTTTATTTTGTCGTGTTTATCGACTGTAATATTAAAACTAGGTAAGTATGTTCGAAAAAAGGTAAAAACATCCATCTATTTTAATATAAAACAGTTAAAKATATAGTAATTCGTACATGTTTAAATCTTAGGCTCTGAAATTCAGGGACTGGAACCTTTTGTTTATTTCGATTCTGGGTCCAGAACCGGTACTTCAAAAATAAAACCTTATTCTATATATATATATGTTCCGTTTCGGTTCCAGATTTCGTATTAAAAAAAATAAAAGTATTGGTTTCTATTATCAATGTCAGTTTCTGTTATTGGTACCAGTTCCAGATAGTTTAGGTCATTAATAAATATAAAATYGATCCCATGTATGGTGTTTAATATATTATACTGAAATACTGAATAGATAAAAACWTTTCCAAATATTAATATTATTATGATTGCCCTACTTGCTGCATATAATCAAAACTTGAATCCAGAGTTCGGATTTTGTTTAGCTCTACAAATGAGAAATATTAGTTAACTCAGCTGATCATAAAATATCAGAAGTTCTTTATTTAATAAATAGTAATAAATTATGAAGGATAAAATTATTTTATTTTGTAACCCAAAAGAACCTTTTTAGTATRAAAATTCCGGTTCCGGTTCCTTATATTTTTTAGGTTCCAGTCCCTTCTCTGAACACACATATTGTATGGTCAGATTTCTTTGGGATTGTTAAAATCTAATACATTATACTATT